GTGAATCATTAATGCACAGAGAAGTGTGGCTGTGCCTTCCTTTTCTGAAATTGACAATGATTTCTTTAGTTTTTCTAGTGTTTAAAACTAGGCTGTTTTCCTTACACCAGTTCACCAAACCATCAACATCCTTGCACTAAGCACCCTCATTGTCATCATGAATAAGGCCCACTACTGTTGTATTATATGCGAACTTGTCAATATGGTTGGTGGCAAACCTAGCACAACAGTTATGGGTCAACAGGATGAACAGCAGCGGACTTAGGACGCAGCCCTGAGGAAAACCTGTGCTCAAGAAAATGGTGTTAGAAATATTTGTTCCAGCTCACACATATTGGGGCCTGTTAGTAAGAAAATCAAGAAACCAGTTGCACAAAGGAGTGCTTAAGCCTAAAAGGCTCAAATAAATGTTATTTAAAGAAATGTGCTTTATATGTCCTTATGCCTTTGGATATGAACAAGGCTGGCTGACTGGCTGGCTTGTTTATGGGTACCATCACCACTAGAGATGAAACTGAAATTGAATTGGTCGTAAAGTGTGTTCTGTAATGATCTCAGAACACTTGTTTCTGAAACATCAGTGCTTCAAGTTCTACATTTGCCAGATAATATACATCTGAGGCAGATTGACACATTGAAATTGAAATCCATTAAACTGCCAATTGAAACAAACTGCAAAAACAAAATATACCAACTCCTACTGGTACCTACGTGGTCAAGAACATCTGAAAATTGTCTCAGTTTACTCAGTTCCACCAAATTCAACCAAGTCATATCCAGAATCCATTTAGCTGGTTTAGGAGGACAAGCTTTCAGATCCAAAGAAGCACCACCTAGAAATATATGTTTAAAAGTTTAAAGTTTAAAAAGTAAGATTAAAAAAAATAGAAAGTAGTTACTAATGCCTCCTCCCACACACACAAACATTCTCCCTCTTATTTAAAGGGAATTCATACACCTATGTTGGAATTTAAGAATATGTTGCCTACTCTGTATGAAGTTGAATATCATATGTTAAATTTCATTTAGAAACCTACACCAGAAAGTCACAAAATTTGCAGGTTGCAGTGTACAAGGCTTATCAGATCAACAAATTCAACATTCAATCAAATGATGGAGAGGGCCCACCCTGTGAAGCGTCAGGTTAATATCTCTAATTACTGTTTTGTACAGACAAGGAGAAAAGGGCACAGGACCATACACTGAGCGTGTGATGTACTTGCTATGACCTTTAATCAGAGTTAGGAACTCCTCATGTTTGACTTTGCCCCGCTGCAAATCAATCTTCAAGGTAAGCAGCAACGTGAACAGAAACTTATGCTCCTCGTAAAGCCCTCGTGCGGCATATTTATACACTTCGTAGGTCATATGCTCAATGATATTTGCTATTCTTTTGCTTGTAATTGGGCTCTTGACAGACCTATTCAAAAGAAAGGGAGAGGATGAAAGAGTAATATAATGCCTTTAGGGCAAAGATTTTAGAAAGGGTAAAAGTATACAAGAATAAAGCATTTTCAAAGCTGTACTTAATAATAGTGAGTTACTGCAAAAGCAAACAGAGTTGCTGAGGCAAATTCAACATGACAATAAATACTGTTCGATCAATATGATCCAACTGGCTAGGACTGTTTAGACTGCTGAGAGTTCACTCTTCTTACAGATAGATTGAAAGGTATTTTAGCTTCATACAATTGATTCCCTTGATCTTTATCCCTACTAGTCCTCCTTCCCTCCCTTCCTTTCTTTCATAATGCAGTGACTACTAAAGGGAGGGCCTAGCCTAGACTGCCATCACTTCATATGGGGGTGGGATCTTCAGCAGACACTTACCAGGTGAACAGACAGGATATGCAGAATTGTTATAGATAAGGCATCGCCAAGATATTGCTCTAAGCAATTCAAAAAGGCAGTGATCCGTAGCCCCTATTGGGAGAGCAGATGGCAGCTGTGGCTAAGAGGTCTTTGCACAATGTCTTGTGCACCAATTGTACCCCTTCCTTGAGCTGGAGGCTTGACTTTCTGCCATTCACATCTTAAGTCACTTCCCAACTGCAATCTGCTCTATACAGGACTGCCCTGGAAGACCATCCTGAAGCTACAATAGGTCCAGAAAGCAGCAATATAAGTAGCTGGGGTTATACTTTGCTATGTTCATGAATATCATTAGTTCATGAGCTACTCTGGCTCCAAAAAGTTTCTGAGTGCAGTTCAAGGTTGTAGATGACACAAAATTGGGTTCTTTGCAGGATTGCCTGTCTCCAGTGCTATCTGCCATCTCACATGCTGTAGTACAATAGGCACACTTAGGGTCCCTTACCTGAAGCAATGTCATCTGGTGGACTTGATAATAGAATAACAGAATTGGAAGGGACCTTGAAGGTCCTCTAGTCCAACCCCTGTTCAAGCAGGAAACCCCATACCATCTCAGACAAATCGTTGTCCAATCTCTTCTTAAAAACCTCCAGTGTTGAAGCACCCATAACTTCTGGAGGCAAGTCATTCCACTGATTAATTGTTCTCACTGTCAGGAAATTTGATCTTACTCTTGCAGCCCCAAATGCATCAAGAAAACTCTTAAAGTGAATTTGCAAAGGAGTTCTGAACAGCTTTCATGTTTGCAAGCATTAGCACAAATAGGAAGGTTTCACAAAGCATTACATGTTCAGTTTAATACGTTATGTAAATTAAATCTCTATCTCCATAGGCTAAACCCTAGGACATGAAGATAATTCATTAGTAATTCAATAATTGAAACTTAGAGTCTCAATTGCTTAAGTTGCACAGCCATATAAATTTTCACAAATAAATAAAGTCAAGCTAACACTAAAAGAGGTGTTTGCAATCTTAGAGATCAGCTTGTTAGTAATTCCTGCTCTCTCACCCTTTCACTTACTAGCTTGTGAGTTACTGGAAATGCTATGCAAAGCAGTTTTCTAATATGTCACAGACAGACCTAGTGTCTTTCTTCCAAGCCCATGCTGGATGGGAATTTATGAGAATTGTAGTCCAAAGTATGGGGCAAAGCTATACATCTGATACAGATTAGACTGTAAGCTACGCATTAGACTGAGACATCCCCTTCAGCTCTATTGGAGATATACACCTGAACGTGAAGGAAACAATATGCCCAGCATCTAGACATCTCATCGCAAAGGTAAAAGCAGTTACATCTGCCCACTTTTGCATGCAGGAAGAACTTGCTCTTTCTCCTGGGAAATTATTTCTGACTTGATGCTTTCCAAACTCTTTAATGTCCAATCTCTCTAGAGTACTTATTATACATTCTGCTTCCTCTGAATTATTCTCTCTTTCTTGGGCCCTTTTAGAGAATGCAAGTTGAAGTTTTTGAACACAGATCAGTGCTTGCTATGTCAACACATAACAAAAGAGAATATTTCGATTCTGCTTGGGATTTTTATTGCACTAAGCCTCCTCGTCTCTGAGAATAAAGTCCTTGGAGAGGCTTAAGAATGATAATCAGAAATACACTTAAAATGAGCTCTCATTAGAAATCACTAAAGAAAAGACTACACTGTCTGCTACTTTTTTCTTCTCTAATTCCCCAAGGCAGGACATTCTTTCCTTCTCCATCAGCCAGGTGACTTAAGGCTATTGGAAGGCTAAGTTCCTTGGCTCCAAGAAAGAAAGACTGAGATGAGGCTATATGTGACAGAGAAGAAGATATAAAGAGCTTTAAGGCATCAGAAACAAAAAGTTAGAACTGAGACATGCAGGGTCCCACCTAGTGGGTAGAAAAGGAATTGCTGCTTCAATGTTCACTTTCTCTAATATCCTTCCTTTCAGTTTTATTGTAGCATGATTATTACATTGGGAAGCTACAAGGGACTCTGCAATGCTTAGAAAAATTGTGGCATTTATGAATATTAAATTGTATTTAGGGAAAGTCACTCTGTCGACCAATTTTGTAGAGCCAAAAAATAAAGTGAGAGATGTTCTGGATCACATTTTGTGCACGTTCTTCCTATCCCACTGTCATTTATGATCAAACATTTTTTACGCTTTAAGAACTGCAGAACTTGTTCTCAAACTATGAGATTAATGGCATGGGTTTGCAGATTCTAAACAAAGATGGCTATATCACATCATTTCAGCTATCCGAAAGCTGTGCCAATTTTTGTTAATCCAGAATGTGAAAAATGTGAGATAATCCAAGTTACCTTGCAAGTGAAAGATCAAACAGGCCCAAAAACTGTCGAAGTGAAGTTTGATACATGACATTTACCATACTCATCTCCGTTATCAGAAAATAGAGAATACTGCCTCTGGTAGCAACTGAACGAAACAAGATTGGATTTGATCAACAGAGATGTAAAACCACAGCAAGTATTAAATCTGTAATTATAAAATCTCATAATGACAATTAATGTCTGATAATAAATAGCTACAAAGGTTTTGTGCACTGCAACCATTTTCTATTTAAATAAAAAAACAGATATCCCCCCTCGCACTTTTGTTTTTACTACATCACTGTACTATATTCATCTGCATATTCAAAAACTCTAATATCAGTTCTAAACTACATCTCTTTCATTGTTATTATTTACTACTCAATAAGAGCCATTCTTCACTTACAGGAGGACTCTTTTTTTGGCAAAATTTTAGATATTAAAGATTTATTCCCCAATACAGGTAGTTCTCGACCACAACTGAGTCCAAAATTTCCATTGCTAAGCAAGATAGTTAAGTGAGCTTTGCCTCATTTTACAACCTTTCTTACCACCATTGTTAAATTAATCACTGCAGTTGTTAAGTGAATCTGGTTTTCATCATTGACTTTGCTTGTCAGAAGCCAGCTGAGGTTACAAATGGAAATCACATGACCCTGGGACAGTGAACTGTCATAAATACATGCCAGTTGCCAAGCACCTGAATTTTGATCATGGGGATGCTGCAGTGGTCATAAGTCACTTTTTTCAATGCCTTTGTAGCCTCAAACAGTCACTAAATGAATGATCATAAGTCAAGGACTATCTATCTTTAGTCTGCTTAGTGACAACAGATGAATATTGCAGTTCTAAGACCCTCAATTCTGCTCCTCATTTAATTCCTGTGGATCAGGAAAGTTGCAAGGAAATTGTCATGAACCATTAAAGCTCTCAAATCTTCCTCAATATAGGCTTGGGGCCTAGCTAATTTTGACCCTTAAAATACTACTGTCATGCCCCAGCATATAATTTGTGTATATACTGTTGTTGATCTCTAGTGGCTGGGGGCCAAATACCCATCTGTATTGTTTGGAAACTGACACAACCCTTTTACTCATCAACCCTCACTCCCAAAACAAGTGCATGCTGGGAAGCCAGACTCCTTCAAGATTTGGAAGGAAGCAGAAGCACCAGGAAGAATCCAGCCTAATCTGTGGCACTTGTTCATCTGAGGACAAAATCCACATCCCATACACATAGCATCGCTGGTGAGATTTAGATTTATCTGTTTATTTGTTAATTGTTATGTTCACCAGCAACTCAGTACTGCTTATTTTGTATTCCATTTCTTATTGTATGTATTTCTACTTTTCCCAGTTTCACCCATCCTGTTCTTTCAATAAAGCAATTATTTTTTTTCCTGATCTATGCACACTGTCTGTTTTATTGGAGGATAGGTGGGTTTAGCTGCAGGTCAAGCTCCACACAGAGTAACATGTAACGAGGACAGAAAAACTACAGTCCAAGCAATAACTACAGTTTAGATCTTTAGTTCAGTAGGGGGAGAATCATCTCACCTGGCCTGTATTCCTCCCGAGCTGAGTTAATCTGTACTTCAGTCTCAACTGATGTTTGCAGTTTCTGGGTCACCTCTTCTGCTGTTCTTTTTGTGTTACTAAGTACAGTGATGAGACTCTCATCTTCCACCAGAGAGCCTTGTGTGCTTGTCAGTCGATACAGCAAGTTATCTTCCAGTTCTTTCATCTTCCTTTTGTTAGCTGTCACATCTTCTATAAGATCAGTTCGCTCTTTCTCCAACTCCTGTGAAAGCATGTGATGTATCGTTGAAAGCAGGCCAATTAATGCATGCATCTATAGTATAGTACCAATGCATTGCCAAATTGGTACCCAAAGTATTATTATCAAGAGACATTCATTCATTATCATATGTCAATTTCCTTGGATGTTTTCTGCCCTTGATTGCACACTCTGATCCAGAGGACTACTCAAAGCAGAGGATGAAGGAAATCATGTTCTGAACCACAACCAGCTACATTAAGATTATCTAACTGAGCACGGTCAGATTCTTCCTATTCAGATTGCAGCTCCCAGGCAGTCATCACTACAACTTTGATGAAAGAGGTAGGAGCCAAAAACAGGGTGGGGGTAGAAATATGTTTGGAATTATGTGATGAAGTGGATTGGAAGCACACTCAGCATGGACCCTGTAAGTATCCCATGGAACCCACTACCACATGAATTTTTCATTCAGCATATTGATCACAGGATATAACATTGATTACTACATTAAGCAGATTTAAAGATGAATAATTCAACATTATTCACATTTAATGTTTCATACATAGTGTCTCCCCAGATGGCATACACAACACTGGTGCTATCCTTAGGAAGAATGAGGTGAGAGATTCAGGCAGCGATTGTGAATGTTCTAAAAAGATAGCAAATATTGTCAAGGTTGGAGTTCAACAACTTACATTGTGTGTGTCTACAAATTCTGTATGTAGTATAGTCTGGATGAAAATAATTAATTTAACCCGGGTTTTGCTATCAAAAGTAACATTAGTTTGTATCTAATTCTAAAGCTCCTTTATTGTGCAGAATATAATTTGAAGATGAGCTAAAATTCCTTCCCTGTAAAAAGAATGACCTATGGCAGTCTGTAAAAACAAATGTAATTGGAGATTATGAAAGTAATTTAGGAGAATTATGAGTTTTCTTTGGACAAGCAGTCATAGAAAATCTGAGCATTAGCTTTGAAGCAAAAGAATAAAAAAAAAAACCAGAAAGCAATGAGAGAACATTCCATTTGTTTTAATTGGTTTCTATTTCAAACTGGAATGAAAATAGTTGAGAAGAAGACATTTTCCAGATATAAATACATGTAATTACAAAGTTCCACTATGTCATCTTATGTCTAAAAGTTTTTCCTCTCTGGACAATAGAAGGTAATTTCACCTACAGCATGAACAATGATTTTACTATTATATTCTGAATATCACTATATGCATTTTATTTCACTATGTAATATACCTTACTAAATGAGATACCTAAAGGAAGAATTAAAACTAGAAAAATGGATTTAGCCTTTTGTTGGCAGGAATGACATCCTGATAATTAACTAAACACATTATCATCTAGAATGTATTATCATATGTAGTCATTTTCTTTTAACTCATTGTAAAGTTCTTTCACAATTTGAAGCTATTTAAATTACTGTGAGAAAAGAATCTGTCACCTTTACAGCCAATCTAAGCAAGACAATAAATAGCTGTTATGTTTAACTTCCACTTTTTTTTCAAATAAAATGTGAAAATGTTGGGAAAATATGATAATATTGAGCCCTGAGCAGGCACTGGGAAAGAATTTAACTCCATCCTCATTGGCTAATAAAAATCACATTTTAAAGCAAACCTTCAAAGTTGCTGTTTACATTAGGAAGAAATAAGCCACTGGCAGAAACTGTTTTTCACTTTACAAAATAGGAGCTCAAAGGAAAGTTTTTTTAAAAAAAAAAATTAGGAACATTTCAGAGAAATAAATTATCAAGTTCTCCAGCCAGCTTTCCTCAAATTCTCATAAATTATCCTATTTTTCCCATGACAAATTTGATCCCTAACAGGTGCAGAAATGTAATTAGGATCAGACATAATAGTCTGACTTGACTAATAACTAAATATCCAGTTATCTACTAGATTCAAAGCTCAAGGCAACATGCTATCTTCTTTTCTTTGACCTTCTGATTAGTGGAATTCAATACAAATTAGAGAAGTACATCTGTTTTTGTCCCCCAAACCAGAATGATGAACTTTTTATGAATTAGATGGTTTAATTTAGATGGTGAAGATTACGCAAACAGGGGGGTTTTGAAAATATAATTTTTATTGAACAACTTTTCAATAAGCTAAAAACAATACAAATGTTAGAAAGAACTAAAGGAAATAAGGAAGAATAATGATTAAGTATGGCTTTTGTTTGCAAGTCCACCAAGCACGATAAGATGACCCTCCACACATTTGAGATACCTGTATACATTCTAGACAATTTTTCGGTAGTCATATACCCATGGTGGCGAACCTATGGCACGCGTGCCACAGGCGGCACATGGAGCCATCTCTGGTGGCACACAAGCCATTGCTGGGCTAAGCTGTTCCCTCCTCCTCTCCGCATATGCGCAGCTCTCCGCGCATGCGCAGTCTGGAAATAGGCGAGAGGCTATAAAAGGAGCAACTTTCAGCGGAAGCAGCATTTGTTGCAGACAGCGAGTGAGCGAGCACAAGTCGGAGCGGACAGCCAGCGAGCGAGCGAGTGAACACGAGCCAACAGCTCGGTGGCCATGCCCACTCAGTGGCCACGCCCACCCGGCACCCGGCGATGCATAAGTGCGTTTGGGGTTGCAGTTTGGGCACTCGGTCTCTAAAAGGCTCGCCACCACTGTCATATACCAATGGTACAGCATAATTTAAAACATATCTTTTAAGTTATAGCAATCCTTTTAACCACATCTTTTCCCATTGATCCACCAGTATAATGTGTCCAAAGTTCTTAGCCCATTTTATCACATAATCTTTCACTTGCTCTTTTTAAGTTTCAAGTTTCAATAAAAGTTGATACTTTTTTAGCAATTACATGTTCATCATTTGTATTTAGTTCAAATTCTGTCTGCTTTTCAATTTCAAATGTCCTATTATCTATCTTAAATCTTTCTTTTAACTGTGCTTATAAAAAGCATTAAAAACTAAATTCCTCTGCTGTCAATTGCTCTTTTGATTTCATCTTATATTCTCAATGTTCCTGTTCTAACAACTCTGGATAAGTTAACCATATTGCTTTACCTACTTTTTCTTTCCTATTAAATGCTTCTGTGCTGAGAAACATAAAGGCATTTTTGGGCAGGCTGGGTTTATATCTGTTTCATATTCTCAATATGGCTCTTGCAATATAATAATTCCTAAAATTTACATTAGTCTTCACATTATCTACCATGAAAACCATGCCATCCGAATCTCAGATCATGCCTTACTAATTCTAAAATCTTTTTATTCCTCAGCAGAACCTACTGTTTTCTCCAGACTAAGCAGCAAATTACAGAGTGCAATTTCAAGTTAGGCAGTCCTAATTCTTCTCATTCCTTTATATCTTGAAGTATTTTATATTTAACCCTTGGGGGTTTTTTCCCTTGCCGTACAAACTTAGACATATTTTTCTGGTACATCAATATTTCATTCCATGTCTTTACATAATCATTTTGGTATAATGTACAATCCATAATAATCATAATGCTACACAAGTATTTCACTTTTTCTCAGCAGTTTTTTCCATCAATTCATTTTGTTTACGATGTTAATCATTGTTGACATTTTCTTTTATTTGTTAATGTTAAAGCTAGCTAATTCTTCCAAATCCTATTTCTATTCCTTCCAGAGGATTTTCCAAAATTATCAGCAGGTCATCTTCAAATGTCCATAATTTATAATTTTTTTAATCTTCACTCCAGCAATTCTCTCATCTCACCTTATGTTTCTGTTCAATACTTCCAAAGCTAAAATAAATAGCAATGTTGACAAGAGGCATCCTTGTCTAGTCCCTTTCTCTATCTCTCAAGGTTTTTTTTTTTAATTCTCCATTCACAATTATCTGTGCCTTTTGGGAAACGTAAATCAATTTTATCTATTAGATAAAATTATCTTAAAATACTACACATGTTCTCTTCAATCCAAATCTCATTGCAGTCTCTATTAAAAAATCTTTAAAACCTCATCATCCATCCTAACAGGAAAAGTCCATTAAGGGTTACTACAAAACAATGTATGTATTATAAACTTGATCTAATAAACCTACTAAAAGTCCTTCCTTTTACATGTATATCTCATTTTCTACCATTAAACAAATCCCTCCAACCTTATCATTCAAATCTTGACAGTAAAAAAACAGAAAGATAATAACATTACTGTTTTAACTTTAATTGCATAAATTTAAAACACAGCAAATAAAGTTGCAGGAACCAATCTGGGTCGGTCACTGGGGCCAGTGCTGGACCCATCTTCGGGGAAGTTCTCTCTAGCAAACACACTCTGCTAGAGAGAAGTTCCCTGAAGCTGGGCCCCAGCTTGGGAGATAAAATCTCTGGTCCTGGTGACTGACCCACATTGATCCTGGAACAGCAAATAAATTTTTTTTCATATGATACTTATATAAACAAAATCTTAACATATCATCATCCAGTGCTGATCAGAAAAAAAAATCCCTTAAACTTTTCTAGAAATAGCAACCTTTCTATTTTAACTTTGGTCAAATAAACCAATTTTATATTCCTTTTCCTTGCTCCCATTAATCACAATGTTTACCCCATATCTTCCAAAATTTTAAACAACAAAGTCCAGCTCAAATGATCAAAGGCCTTTTCTGCATCAAGACAAATCAATGCAATATTGGCCTCTATTCAACAGTCCAATATCTTTCCAATCTTTGAATAGAGTTCATTATGTGTTGCAACGTAGTAGTTGATTTTCAAAATGTCTATAAGACGCTGGTAGGAGATCTAGTCCAGGTGCTTTCCCTATTTTTTTTTTATAACTTCACAAACTTTTTTTGTTGTCATAGGTTCATTCATTAATTACTTCTGTTTTTCTGTAATCTTTGGTGAATTTTATTTCTTTAAATATTCATCAATCTTTGCCAGGAAATTTTCACCTTCTTTATATAATTAGTAATATTGTTAAAATATTTTTGCATCTTTAAAATTATCGATGATTGTGGTATTTCCATCTTGTTGCTTTAATATCAATTTCCCTTTTTTTCTT